AGAGACGATCCATTTTAACAGGTCGTATTTGTTCACGGCGCAGATTTACACAATAGTAACACCGTCGTTTTATATTTTTATGAGCTTAAATAATTAATTTATAATTCTAATTTATACTGCTGCATTAAACATTTTATAAATAAATATATTAAGACTTTGATATCTTATTAATTTAAAAATTATTAAAGGATCAATTTTGAATAAAATAAATTATCAAATAATTATTAGTTTATAAAGAAATTGTTTGAAACAAGTTTATTATAATATTGTATAAATTTTTCTTCTAACCTTTTAGGTTCAAAATATCATATACTTGTTATTTTTGTATTTATATTTGTATAACTGTTTTTATAATAATAACTTATAATATTATTTTTTTTGTTGACTAATTTCAATTAGAAATAAGAAAATACTCTTAAATAAGAAACATAAATTTTTTTAATGATTTAAAAAAACTACCACAAAATAGATATTCAATAATTTTTTATGGATATTAAGTATATATTGTTATAAAAATATATTATCTAATACATCATATTTTTCATATTCTTTTAGTATTATGATTAATAATATATTAAATTTATGCATTAACTGTATTTTATATAATTTGTATTATTAAAGTTTAAAAAATGACACATGTCATTTTTACAATAAATCAAAATGATGAAATGACACTAATATGGAGAGAGTTGGCCATCTTTTATAATATATATTATATTTTTTTTGAATTATATGTTAAATTAATTCAAAGAAAACCATTTTTACATCAAATGCTACTGTGTTGAGTTTAAAGAGAAGGAATAGAAAAAATGGAAAGAATCAAAAAATTTCTTCTTCGAGACTTGAAACTTCAGGTTTGAGAGACAAACCATGCTTGGAGAGCTTCTTCATAATTACGTTTCTCTCTATCTTGCTAAACTATTTTCCCCATTTGTTGGAAATGTCTCTCCTTCTTGTAAATTCTTTATCTTTTCTTTTCTTTAGAACTATCCGTCATTCGCAACATCAATAAAGTCTCCCGCTTGTTTGAAAATTTCTTCTTGTTGATCCCATGTTTGAAGGATTAGATGGTGGTGTTGGAAGTCTTGTAAAGTGGAATCCTTTGGCTAATGTCGAAGGAGCAGATGTATGTGTGGAGCTTCTTGAGAACAATGGATGTTCCGGTGAATGCATTGCATCCGAAAGGATACGTCTCCGTCGGGTGTGAGCCTTGCACTAGAGACGTAGATTCGCTTATGTCGTTTGTAAATCTTCTCCGGTGAGTTATATATGAGTTTGGAGAGAATTAAGATGAAGAATGATTTCATCTTGGTGTTAAGATTGTGGACCTAAAAGAATAAACAAAAGCTTTATGTTCTATATATATGACTTTGTATACGGTATTTATAGACTCTTTTCTCTGTGTCTTTGTCGTTAAAATGTTGTATTTTTGTTCTTTCTTTTGAGTTTTATTGAGAGCGAATCGGTCCGTGTAATGAGGAGATTTTCTTGATTATGTTATCTCGATAATCTGCTAAAGTTTTGATAAGTGCACTTTCACTTCACAGCCATCTTGGATCTTTGCTCAGGTAACGCCCAAGGCAATACCGTAGTAAGCTAATTTCACAAAACTTTAACTTAGGGTAAAAATCCATCAGTACAATGGGCCGCAGATTAAAAAATTATCTCTCTAAATTAATAACTATCTTATTTATGAGACAATTTTATTAAAATCACTAGGTTTGATCTGCGTGTTGCACAGAGTTATTTGTTAATTTATTTTCAAACTTTATAATTTTTTAATTGAAATTATATTTTATTATTTTTATCCTAAAATATATAGAATTATAAAGTTATTAACATGTGCTAATTGTTTAAAAACTTCATCCATATTTATATGATGTCATAAGTATTTAAGTTTTCTACTACATATATTTCTTTTCAATTGGTTTCTACCTTTTTTTTATATTGCTTATTTCCAACGAGATCAACAATCTCAATGCTTTAAATTGAATAACTTCTTCATTTTTCGTAAATTTTGGAAAATTCAAAATTCTAACTCATTCTGAAGCACAAATAGTCATGCTTTTATTATTATTTTTTTCTTCGTATAGATTAAGTTCATTTCATGCTATATTATTAAACACTTTAGTCTTCTTTATTCATATAAAATCTTTATTAATTTTCACAATAAAATAGATATGAATGATTTTACTTTACTTTTATACATATATCTTTCCCGTTTTTCTTTTTAAGTTTGATAACTCCTCAAGTTCTTCTGTCATCTTTCGTATTTGTTTGCATTCCAACTTCTTTTCCACATTTTCTTTGTTTATATTTGAAATAACATTTTGAATTTTTTTTATTTGGTAGAGAATTTGTAGCTTTTATTATTTATAAAATAAGTATTTATTTTATATAAATAATTTTACTTTAGTTTTATATATATATATATATATCTTCTCAAGTTTTTTTTTTTAAAAGTTTGATAACTATCCTTCGCAAATTCTTCTGTCATGTTTTGTATTTGTTCGTCTTCCAACTTTTTTTTTTACATTCTTTTATCTTCTATTCTAAATAATATTTTCACTTTTTTATTTCATATTTTTTTTAGTTTTTATGATTTGTAAAATAAGTATTTGGTTTTTACACTTTTAAATTTATTTTGTATGAATGCCTAAAAAAATACAAACACAAAATATACAGAAGCTGATAAAAAAAGATCATAATATGTAGAAGTCTATGAAGAAAAGAACTACTTTCTGAGCTGTATAGCTTCATTGGAGAGAAGCTTTTTGTAAATCATTCTCAATCACAACAGTCCTAAATTATTTTTTTCTTTTTGTATAGCTTTTTTTGTCGTCACCTATTCTATAGATCAAATTTATTTTTAAGCTACATGATTTTAAACTTTATTCTTTTTTTTTTCACAGCAAAACTTTAGTTTTTTTTATGAAAACCCATCATTCATTTTACAACGTAAAGTATGAATAAGTCTATTTTATTTTTCTGCATACATTTTTTCTGAACATTTTTTAAAAAAAAACTTTAACGACTATTATGTGTAAGTTTTTTCATTGTTCGATTTTAACCTTTGTTTCCATATCCTGTTTGTTTTTATTAGAATTAGCATACTTTTATATATATAAAACATACAGCTTTTGAGTTTTGTAAAATTGATATTTTTTTTTAAGTTAATATCTTTAAAAGCCCAAAAAACCTGTATAAAAATAAATTAACATAAGTTAATATTATGTGAAAATCCAAAATACTTAAAAGCCAAAAAAAAAAAATTAAAAATGCTGATGTGGACACTCTAGATGGAGAGAAACTTCTCTAATTATATATATGATTAAGATGCAGTTACCTAAGCGGCTAAACCCAATTAAAGTGTGTAACAAACTCGAATGTGTTTGGCTCGAATGCGAGATGTCGTGAACGTGTTCGTTTTATTAAGGAACTAGCCAAGGAAGTGATAAGTGCTCACACAAATACGAGTAATAATATGCAGTTGTCGGACAGAGTGGAAAGATTGATAGTGTGGAAACCATCAGTTGGAGATTGGATGAAAATAAACACGGATGGAGCTTCACGAGGGAATTGCCACTGCAGGTGGAGCTTTGAGAGATGCAGATGGAAATTGGTGTGGTGGATTTGCTCTGAATATTGGGATCTGCTCGACACCGTTAGCCAAATTGTGGGGGGTCTACTATGGTCTATATCTGGCGTGGAAAAAACAAGTTATTCGGCTAGAGATAGAGGTGGACTTGGAGATTGTGGTAGGTTTTTTACGGACAGGGATCAGTGATACTCATCCTATATCTTTCCTGGTGCGCTTGTGCCATGACTTCATTTTGAGAAATTGGCTGGTCTGTATCTTTCATGTGTTTCAGGAGGCTAATCGTCTTGCCGACGGTTTAGCAAATCATGCTTTTTCTTTACAGTTAAGCTTTCATGGTTTTGAGGTTCCGCCTGCAGAAGTTGTTTCTGTTTTGACTGAGGATGCAAATGGTTTTGCACAGGCTCGATATGTAAGATTGTAAGGCGTTTAATGTTGAATAAAATGGGGGAGACGTTGTTTCCCTCCATGGTACCAAAAAATAAAATCATTCAAATGCAGTTACCTAAACAGCGAAACCCAATTGAAGTATGTAATAAACTCATTTAATATCTGTAAATATAAAATCATTGTTTTTTTAAATAAAAGAAAAACATTACAAAGGAAAAAACATGATCAAATAGAAAAAAGAATGTAAATCATATAGTAGTAGTAAATTTATCAATAATTAAGGCTCTCATATATGAATAATAATGTCAACAGCCTAATAGAGAAGCATATTAGAAGTGGTTGAATCTAAATCTCAAGAAATGATTAGGCTCTAGCAGTAACATCATGTATTATGCAGATTTGATAATCACTATACTATATGTTCTGATCCATCACAACAATATTTATGTTTATAGCTCTGATTCATACTAATCATACTTTATAAACTTTATATATTTCTTTTATTTGCTTACCGCCAAAATATTTTCTTTTTTGTTTTTATTTTGGCTGTACAAAATATTTTTTCCTAAAGCACATTATTGGTAACAGCTGTAGTTTAACGTTTTTGCTGTAGAAATATGGTTGTAGATTTTTTTGCTGTAGTTGTAAACTTTTTTTTCTTTAAAATTTTGGCTGTAGAATTGTAAATTTAGAAAACATAAATTTATATGCTTAGAAAAAAAATGCTTTGTATAACAAAAAAAAAAAATCTTAGCTGTAAGCAAATAAAGAAAAGATAAAATTTATAAAGCATGATTTGTATAATTTAGAGTTTTAAACACAAATATTGATGTATACAGCATCTACAGCAACAACCAATCATAATCTTATGTTTTCCAAATTTTACAATTCTACAATCAAATTTTAAAGAAATAAAATCTACAGCTATAAAAAAACTTTTACAGCTATATTTCTATAACAAAAATTTAAAGGTACAACTATTATCAATTAGACCCTAATATATAGAGGAACAATGAAAGGTTTTGAATAGTACTATTTAGTTTCAATAGAAACATAAAAAAGACAAAACAACACAAAACAATAAGATGGTTTCACTTGGCAAATGTTTCTTCCTTATGCTTTTATGCCTTTCTCTTCTCATGTCGCCAAGTATGCCAAAAATCATTTTATATATATTTATGTTTAGTTATATATTGTATGCCTATTTATTTATGCATATAACTGAACATATACAGTATAGTTTATTCTGTGTTACAAGATATATGGGATATATATACATAAAATGTTCTTTTCCGTGTTTTCACAAAATAAAGCTATCCCAAAATTTTGCAATTTCTATCCATTTTGTTTTCTTCAACTTTTGATTGTTTTTATTCATTTTTATCAGAAAAATTGTTTCTTCCATATGAAATTTTTAATTTTTTTGTTTAACTCCCATATATCAAACTAATTTTTTTATCTACTCTAATACATCTGAAATTTGTTTTAGATTCTTTTCTTGAAGGATTTTTTCTCTCTCCAATATTCAAGTTAATTAATAAGTTTAATTTAAAGAGATGAAAGTGGTTTTGTTTTATTGAAGTATAAACTGATATGTATATGAAAAAAAAAAACTCAACAGAATGTTATATACCTTCTACTTGATATACTATTATTTTTACATTTGATATGATATTATTTCGCCATTATAACATATTATATACTATTTTTACAGTTGATATAATATTATTTCAACATTAAAATATATTATATACTTTATCTTACGAGACATTTAATATTTCTTTGTATAAAAGCAAAAGAGATCCATGTGTAACAACGACTTTTTTTTGTTTTTGATCAGACTTTTTCACTAATTGATTTTACCTCAAATAAAATTACAGAACAAGCGGAAGCGAGGGCAGGAATACAACCGTTAGGTTATTGCTCGAATTTTCCCCACTGCAAGCAGAGATGCATTGAATTAGGCTATCCTACAGGTGGAGCATGTTTAAAACTAAATCCAAGTGATTTTGAAGAAATATGTTGTTGCTATGTATAAATATAATGAATCTTATATATATCGCCTATTTAAGATTTCGACTGTTAAAACACTTTAAATAAAAATGTGACAAACAATATATTATCAATAAAAACATTAAACATTGCATAACGATATTAATTTATGGTAGTCTCAGTTTGGCCTGTATTTTTCAATGTGCAATCTTGATGGAGAAATAGCATAATGGTTAAATTTGGACCGTTCTTCCTGAGCACTCCTCTAAATTCCGGATTCGACTCTCGGCAGTGGAATATTTTTATTATTGTTGTATATAACGAAATGTCGTACGTCCGAACATTTAAAAGCAGAAAACAAACCCTAGAAGTCGTCGAAAGTGAACGAAATTGTAAACGGAGATGTCTACCTCATATTTCATGAAATCCAGAGGAGCTTGAAGCTCGGAGATCACAGAGATTCTCTCGAAAGTTTCTAAAATCTTGGGAATGAAAGGGGACAAAACAATAAGCAGATACTATGATTTTGCCAAAGAGATTGTAGAAGCCGATAAGAGTGCAAATTTCAAGAATCTACCCCACAAGGAAGTAGGCAAGAGAATATAATCAGAAATGTATTGGTTCTGAGAGAATTGGGAGTGCCTCAGAGTATTTTATTCTCTTTGCTCATCTCCAACTTTAACATTGTAAGTGGAAAAAATAAGTTTGAAGACTCACTTAAGAAGGTCGTTGGGATGGGCTTTGAGCCGAGGACCCCAAGGTTTGTCCGAGCTTTAAACGTTGTTTACAGAGTGAGCCAAGAAGCAATAGAAGAGAAAATCAATGTGTATAAAAAAGCTTAGGCTTTGATGTGGAACATGTATGGGCACTGTTCAAGAAGTGGCCAAACTTTCTGACACACTCAGAGCAAAATATATGGAACTCCATGGAAACATTTATAGGCCTAGGATTCAGCAGAGATGAGTTTGAGAGTATGCTCAAGCGCTTTCCTCAGTGGATTGGATTGTCCGGAGAGAGGGTGAAGAAGAAGACTGAGTTTTTGGTGAAGAAGATGGATTGGCCACTAAAGGCCCTGGTTTTGTTCCCCCAGGTATTTGGATTGAGCATGGAGAAGAGGATTGTACTAAGGTGTTACGTAATGAAAGCTCTCTTGTCTAAAAGATTGGTCGGAAGTAAATTCACTCCAATGCCATCGGTCTTTGCGATTACCGATGAAGCTTTCTTATACAAGTATGTGATGGCTATCATCACTAGAGTTCATAAAGGCTGGTGAACATTTTTTGTTTAGCTTTTTTTTTTGTTCTGTTAGTTTAGATTTGTCGATGAATCTTTTGATTGGAAGAGAATGAAGAGAATTTTAATCATGAATCTCTCTGTAACCTATTCAAACTTGTATAATCCCAATTTGATCCGTATCAGACTCATTTTTATATGAATCATACTTCGAAATATAACAAATTGTAGATAAACAAAAGAGCTTAGAAAATGAAGTTTTGGCTCCTTCTTCACCCCCAAAACGGTGCCGTTTCTGGGGTATGCGTCCCCTCTCTTCTTTGTGAGGCTAAAACACAGTCCACAACGTTTTTTTCCGTTCTTTCTTCTTTTACCGGAAAACAAAAATATCAGAAATGGCTGCGGCCAAACTTCTCCGCGGCAACATGGCAATGCATCTACCTTTACCGATGAATCACCGGCATCTTTCAAAAACTTCGAGCATCATCTCTTTCGCTGCACGGAGGCACATCGTTCCCATGGCATAAAGTCGACTAAATGATATGTTCTTTGTAAAATATAATTGTGCGTTGCAATGCTGATACAAGATTAGTGACACAGCTGATCCTATTAGTTTGGACAAGGTTGATGATTGCAATGAATGGCTAACTGGGAGAATGGATGGAAATGATGAGGTTCTGTTTGAAGATGATAACTTGATATGGAAAACGTCTGAAGAACCTAGCTATTCTACTAGAGCAGCAACAGCTTCAAGATTGGCCAGAGGTAAGGGTATTGCTAGCGTTGCTAGCGCAACACCCACCACTCGACAAGCACACTCAGTTCGACAAACAACCATCTGCGTCATCTTCTAATGTTATATCATTGGTTGATGATGATGAGATTGAGATGGAAGAGGATTTGGAGGGAGCTGCTGCTGACGATAATTTAGGTTATGCGGATGATTTTAGCTATGCTAATTATGAAGATGTCGATGATGATATATAAGTATCATACTAGTATAAGCTACAGTTTGTGAATTGCTGCAGCGACACATAAAAGAACAGAGCCATTGTTGATTATGTTCGTTTACGTTCCATACGGCGTTCATCTTAAACGCCTAGGCGAGAGGCGATATTATGGAACCTTATCGCCTTCTCTCGCCTATTGCTATTTAAAACTAAGCTTTAGACTAAGTGAGATTACTGCAATTTTCTTAAGAGAATACTTTTTGTGAATGTGAAAGAGCGGAAAAGAGCTACCGTCTTTTTATAATAGACCAAAAAAATTTCAATTTGAATTGATTCAACAATAATCAACCCTGAATCAAGGAAAAGTGGCCGAAGTGATCTTACCACAATCTCGAAGAGAGACCGAGTCTCTTTTAAACTCATTTAACAAACTCATTTAATAACTGTAAATATAAAATTATTGTTTTCTTTTTTCTAAAAGAAAAATATGATTAAATAAAAAAAAATGTAAATCATATAGTATCATTAAATTTATCAATAATTAAGGCTCTCATATATGAATAATAATGTCAACAGCCTAATAGAGAAGCATATTAGAAGTGGTTGAATCTAAATCTCAAGAAGTGATTAGAGTATCAGTAATAGAGAGTCTCCATATGGGGCTCTTTCTATTTCAAAAAAATATTTATATATATTAACTAATCATATTGTGACACGTGTCAAAAGAAGAGGGAGAGTCGACTCCTCCACCTCTCTACACAGAATCGATCATATGTGAAAAACTTTACATGTCAATTTTTTTTTTCTTCTTTATTTTTAAAATTTAAGAACTGTAATGGTCTCCATTACAGTTGCTCTAGCAAGAACATCAATTGTTTTTAGTTAACAAGATAACAACATGTATTATGCAGATTTGATAAGTGATAACCACTATACCATATGTTCTGATGCAACACCAACTTATTTAATCGTAAAATTTAGAATATTTTAATTAGAATAATTGAATATAAAAATAAATATTATGTAAAAATTGGAATTTAAATCGTATAATCGATAGTAAATTTAACCGCAATGAGCATAATAGTATAATATTATTTAGTTAGATAGCCAAATTCTGTACTTGTAAATAAACAAATGAAAAAAAAAGTGAAGGTGATGATGATATTGTTTGTCATTATTATCATCTTAAATTTATGATTATTATTGGTGAATATTATGTATAAGTACATACTAATGTTGAATATTAGATAGTATGATAATTAAATAGTACATACTAATGTCAAATGATGTTATCAGTCATATAACAGTGTTAATTATCATATGATTTGGCAAATAGTGTAGTAAGTATATTTATATCAGAAAAGACAAAAATGTAAATAATATTTTACGTAAATAAGCGAATTCTGACAATTTTTTTTTTTTGGTTGAAACAAAGGTTTATCTCTCTCAATTTCCGAGATACAGTATCACATTAGTATCTTTTACCATTCAACTAATTAGTCAATCATTCATACATATGATTAATTAAATTCACGATCCATTTGAGATTATTTACTTAATTAAGAAATAGTAAATTTAGTAAGTGCATATACCATATATTCTTTAGAAAATTTATATATAAAGGAACAACGAAAAGTTTTCAGTACTAGAAATTAAAAAAAAAAAAGACAAAACAACACAAAACAAAAAAGATGGTTTCACTTGGCAAATGTTTCTTCCTTATGCTTTTATGCCTTTCTCTTCTCATGTCGCCAAGTATGCCAAAATTCATTTGATATATTTTAATGTTTAGTTCTACATTGTATGCCTAGTAAAAGTAAAAGAGATCCATGTGTAACAACCTTTTTTTTTTTTGATCAGACTTCTTCACTAATTGATTTTTATTTTAAATAAAATTATAGAACAAGCGGAAGCCAGGACAGGAATGGAACCGTTAGGTTATTGCTCGCAGATTCCCAACTGCAGGCAGAGATGCTATGAATTAGGCAATCCTATGGGTGGAACATGTTTAATACTAAATCCGGGTGATATTGAAGAAACATGTTGTTGCTATGTATAATGAATCTTATATATATCTACAATATATATATATATATATAAAAATATATCGCCTGTTTAAGATTTAACTGTTAAAACACTTTAAATAATAATGTGGCAAACAATATATTTTGAATAAAAACATTACATAACGATATTATTGATGACAAGGAGCTTGTGCCTATCTTCACCAGAGTTCATAAGGCATGCCTGGAACAATGAGCAACGTACAATGAGTAACGCTAAGAGTTTTGTTTTCTATCAGTTTTAGATTTATGGAGAATGAGCTTGGCCTGTATCTTTCAATATGCAATACTGAAGGAGAAATCAGAAATAGCACAAGGGTTAAATTTGTTACGTTTTTCCTGAGCGCTCCTCTGAATTCCGGTTTCGACTCTCGGCAGCAGAGTATTCTTTTTTCTTATAGTATACAACGAAATGTCGTACGAACCTATAAAAGCAGAAAATAAACCCTAGAAGTCGTCGGAAATGAACAAAATCGTAAATGGAGATTGTCCAAACCCAACGCCACAATCATATATACCTTTTTTTTTTTTTTAATTGGAATGGTTTGGTTATCACTGCAAACTGTAGTTTCTTGTTTCTGAGTCTTCTTTAGGGTGAAGCCTTGTTGGATTGTCGCATTTGCTGTAACTGTCTGTGCACAATTAACTAATTGTGGAAAAACTTTGGTTAAACATTGATTATACGCTATACATAATACTATAAAACCCCGCAAGGTCTCGATCACTTCCACTGGTCCAAGTATGATTGGCCTTCAGAGTATATTCCATTCTTGTTTTCGCAGGAACCAGCGCCATTGGTTAAAGCAATTCCAAATTCATGTTGAAGCCATTGTGGAAACATATTGATACTCAGGGAGCCGTTTACCTATGTGATACACCATTTCTTCATAAGTCATGTAGTTTGCTACGCACTCAAGATAATCATCATCGTATATATATATATATATATATCTTTCACCATTTTAGATTTACCTACAAGCCATGTAATGTTAGCTGTGTGGAATAAATATCACATAAAATAGTAATAGACAAATATGTTTTCACTCAACATCATGTATCTATAAATTAAGTAATTTTTCTATTTTAAAAAAATTAAACCTTTCCAAATGAGAAATCTCTAATACTCAAAAATTCGTTGGTCGATGTTCTAAAAATCTCTAATGCTCAAAACTTTAATTTCACAACAATGAAGAGAGTACTTTCTTAGCTCAACAATTCATCCCATGTTTTTAACATTTTCCATCATGTTTAAGCTCCAATATTTTTACAAAACTTAAATTTGTTTAAGAAAATGAAATGTTGAACTTGTTAGGCTTTCCATAGAGATGGAGAATGATCAATAGCACTAATAAACACTATTGTAGCACTTGCATCTCTATTTTTCTCTACTTCTTTTTTTTTTTTTTCTCGAGTAAGAAAAAAATAATAGAATTGGTGGATGGATTATTGATATAGCTATACATTTTCCCTTTTATGTTTCGAAGAAACCAACATTTTCTTTTGTACGCCTAAGATGAAGAAGATGAACATAATTGTTCGGGTTTTTCGTGTATACTTTTAGAAGTTTTTTATATTATTTTTTTGATCATCATACTCATATCTTAATAACTTTAATTGATCTTATAATATAATGTCTGATATATCTAATATTATAAAAAAATTAAAAAATGATCGAGAGGCAGGTTAATCAATCACAAATAGTAAACGATTTGATTTTTGCGCTAGATTAAGCAATTACATATGACTAGATTTTGATCTGCACGTTACACGGAGTTATTTGTTAATTTATTTGTTAATTTTATTATATATTTTGATATTTTCTTTGTTTTGTTTTATTGTTATTTTTAATTAAATTATTTTTATTATTTTTGTCTTAAAATATTTTGATATATTATGAAGTTATTAACATATGCTAATTATTTAAAAACTTTATCCATATGTATATGTTGTTATAAATATTTAAATTTTCTACTACATATATATTTCTATTCAATTGGTTTTTACATTTTTTATATTGCTTATTTCCAGCAGGATCCATAATCACTACAAGAAAAAAATGTATATTACATCACTAATAGAT